TCCGCCGTGTCTCGGGGAGGGCCGCCCGCGGGGGCCGGCTGGGAGCAGCTCCCGGTCCCCTGCCCGCCGCGCACGGGAGGGGAGGAGGGACTTCCGGGTTTGCCCATGATTGGAGGCAGCAATTAGCCTAATGAGACGTTTTAACACAGGGAAGACTCGCAGCTTTACGACTACTGTTTACTAAACAGCTGTTCAGGACCGCTTTTCTTTTTTTCTAATTTCTGCCGGTACTGAAGCGAGAGAGTATCTGAGGGACCAACTTAACAGGTGATCTGTGGATGAAAAGTCTTAATGGCTTCTAGGCAACGTGGAGATTTGAAACAGTTTATGGAGAACTAGTGTGCACGGGAATAGCATGCAACCAAAACGAGAAGTAAAATGTTAATGGCATGCAACACTACGTTAAATATTCCTATGGGACTTAAGCAATGCATAAATCTTGAAAAAATAAATTTGAGTCATGTAAACAGTTGTAACCCGTACAGTGCCAATCATTAAAACCGTTTAAATAAGACTGCCTTGTGCTCGAGCAAGTAGTGGGAAACGCTTTTTGTCCTGATTTGTACATTGAATAAAAGATAGGTGTTTAACGTTTGCTGAAGTGATTCGTGGTTCTGTACTGTCGAAATCACGAATGGGTTCCTTTCAACTGATACTCAAGTTCTGATAGGTAAACCATTTGGGGGGAAATTGGTTGTTTTCCTTAACAGTTTTCTATCATCAAAAATACACATTTGAACTCTGAAAACTTTTAAAGACTTGGTGAAATACTTGAAAAGACTCACTCTTGGGGTCCCCCATCCAATCTGTATTCTAGAAATTTTAGTGCTCTTTTTAATAAACTTCCAGTTTAATTTTAAACAAGAAAAGGGAATTTCTTTAGGACAATATTTAGACAAACTGTATAATAAATATGCTATATTATAAGCTGTAATAAGATCTGTAGTTCTGATAGTTCATTTCATGAAAGTTTTGTAAAAAAAACAATACTTCCCCCCCAATTATAGCAAATCTTGAAATACAGTGAAGAGCATACAGAGTTTTGTGTTTCCTTATGTTTTACCACTGGGACCTCATTGATTTTGGTCAAGTCTTGTTAAATGCCAGTGGAGCTGGCTTGTGTTGAAATGCTTCCACCTTTCTGCTGAAACCTGTAGCACAGCCTTATTTTTTCGAGTTCTGTCCCCTTACTGAATTATTCAGGTTGTGGGTTTATTCATGTTGTGGGTTATCTGTGCTGTGAACTGTTCTGTGCATCTTTGTGAAATGTCTTGAGTCATACTTGGCTGACTAGGGTGGTACAAATACAGCTGTACTTCTCCCTAGAGGAGTTGGGCTCAAATACACAGGGCTGGTGAGTCCTGTGGGATTTGAGTAGGCTCCATGTAGATGCTCAAGTCATCTGGAATGAGCTTGGGTCGTGCTGGGTTCAGTTTCTGGCTAACACTGATCCCCCAGAGAGTCAACCTCTATGTGAGTCCCAGTGCTCTGGGAAGGAAGGCTCCATGACTTAGAATGGTGTAGTCCTATCTTCTAACTATCCTTGGATAACTAGTCTTGGTTAATGAAGTGTGACGATAGTTAAACCTTAGTAGCTAAAGTTAGTGATCTAAACTTGTTTTAATTTGACTTTTTTTAGGTAAGATGCAGGTTGTTGTGCTGTATCTTTCTCTCTGTAATCACAGATATTCATGCTTCTTGCTGCATTAGTGACTAATGAGTGATGGCCATCTTTATGTTGGATTAAATTACTTCTAATGGCTATGTGATTTTTAGCCAAGAAAAGAGAAAAATTATTGTAACTGAGATCTATAATTCAAGACCTGTAAATGTTTCTGGTTTAGTTAAAAAAAGGGTTGTTTTTTTAATCTAAGATTCCTATCATGTTGCACTTGGATAGAAGTTGGAATTTCAGAAGATAAAGTAGCATTATTTTGTTGACCATAACTACTCTTACTAAGTTTCATTAATCTGTTTTAACTTACTGCAAATGAAATAATAAACAAGAATAGTGTCTATTCTAATCAATTGACTGTTTTTCTTTCCAGGAATCAAATATTTCAAAGCTCTTAAAACACCTAGAGATGTTAATAGAAAGCTATATGCATTTCTTCCCTCTCCCTCCAAAGACTGGATAAGCTTTGATGGTGCCAATGTACTCATACAGTTAGGTCTCTCAGAAGGCACAGAGTCCAGGGAGTGGAACTGCCTGTGTAATACACGGTTGAGCAGATATCCAAGTATGGCTTTTTGGAGGGCTTATAAGCTTATTGGAAACAAAAAAAAAAAATTGAGAGTAAAATTCACAGAATCAACTAGGTTGGAAGAGACCTTGAAGATCATCCAGTCCAACCATTAACCTAACACTGACAGTTCCCAACTACACCACATCCGTCAGCGCTATGTCAACCCGACTCCTAAACACCTCCAGGGATGGGGACTCCACCACCTCCCTGGGCAGCCCATTCCAATGCCCAACAACCCCTTCTGGAAAGAAATGCTTCCTAATATCCAGTCTAAACCTTCCCTGGTGCAACTTGAGGCCATTCCCTCTTGTCCTATCACTTGTTACTTGGTTAAAGAGACTCATCCCCAGCTCTCTGCAGCCTCCTTTCAGGGAGCTGTAGAGGGCGATGAGGTCTCCCCTCAGCCTGCTCTTCTTCAGACTAAACACCCCCAGTTCCCTCAGCCACTCCCCGTACGACCTGTGCTCCAGACCCTGCACCAGCTCCGTTGCCCTTCTCTGGACACGCTCGAGTCATTCAATGTCCTTTTTGTAGTGAGGGGCCCAAAACTGAACACAGGAATCGAGGGGCGGCCTCACCAGTGCCGAGTACAGGGGTCAGATCCCTTCCCTGTCCCTGCTGGCCACGCTATTGCTGACACAAGCCAGGATGCCATTGGCCTTCTTGGCCCCCTGGGCACACTGCTGGCTCCTGGTCAGCTGGCTGTCAATCACACCCCCAGGTCCCTCTCTGACTGGCAGCTCTCCAGCCACTCCTCCCCAAGCCTGTAGCGCTGCTGGGGGTTGTTGTGGCCCAAGGGCAGCCCCCGGCATTTGGCCTTATGGAAACTCCTGCAGTTGGCCTCAGCCCATGGCTCCAGCCTGTCCAGGTCTCTCTGCAGAGCCTCCCTACCCTCGAGCAGATCAACACTCCCACCCAGCTTGGTGTCATCTGCAAACTGACTGAGGGTGCACTCTATCCCCTTGTCTAGACCAAAACCCAGCCCTGGGGGACACCACTCGTGACCGGCTGCCAACTGGATTTAACTCCGTTCGCCACAACTCTTCGGGCCTGGTGATCCAGCCAGTTTTTTACTGAAGCAAAATGTGTGACCATCCAAGCCAATTTGGCATAACCAAGCTGAACTCACATCCTTCTAGGCAGTTCCTCAGTGTGCCTGTTGTCCTGGCTGCTGTCTTTGCTATCCAGTGTTCTTTATATTCTGATAATTAGTAGGTTATACATCTCATTTCCTTTTCAGGAATGAAGCAGTTGTTGATAATTCAGTATTAATTGAGAAAACAATTTCTAATGAGTTTACTAAAATGAAAATAAAGATTTCCTTATTGGTGCTTTGTCAACTCTCATAACTGCTGAAATACAAATTGGTAAACAAACCTTTAAGAATACTTCCCACCCAAATATCTCAAAACCTGAAAGTGTCTATAAAAAAATCTCTTCCACAGTTGCTAATGACAGTTTACTAGATAAAGTATGAAAGCTAAGAATGATTGAATTATCAGGGCAGATGATACCAGGGGACAAAATTCTGTAAGCCTTTCATAATTTCCCTAGGAGTTCTGTGAGCAAGAGACTAGTGAAGACCAGCTTCCTAGGGATGCTTCTGGAGATCTGGTTTCTGTGTAGGTTATCTGGTGCCTAAAAAGGGTTACCCTGTGCCCTTTTTCTCTGTGGATCTTCTCATAGGGTTTCTCTCTAGCTGCCTGTTTTCATGAAATCTCTGGAAATGCCTGATTATCTAGCTTACTGTCCGATTTTACTGGATATATTTGTATGTGGAAGGCACATTTGTGCATCTTCCTTCCTCGAGCTCCATAGCAGCTTGATACTTAATTTGATTGCATATGCTTAGTTTCCTTGGGAACATGAACTGAAATGGTGCTGATTTGATGTAAAGAAAAATCTTTTCATTGTGAGCACTAGTCCATCACTGGAAACACTTGCCCAGAGAGGCTGTCAAACCTCTGTGGAGATTTTCAAGAGCTGGCTGGCCAGTATGCAGTGTTCCCTCCTTGCAGTTCATTGTTGGCCTTCTTTGAATAGGAGCCTTGACCTGGTGTCCTCCTGAGGTCCCTTCTGAGGTGAATGAGTGGTGTTCTCTAAGTAGTAGACTAAAAGGAAGGCTAATAGGAACTTATCATTTTGTGGCTTCTCACTTTGAAGAGGTGAAATGTTAGTATTTCCACTTTTTTTAATGCAAAGAAATTATCGTCAAGCATAGTTACTTGGTATTTGTCGTTGATTAGTAAGATACTGTCCAGACTGTTAACCTTGTTTAGAGTAGTATTAAAATAGTACAGTAGTACTGGAAGGGCAGAGTTGCTTTTGTTGTCGTTGTTGAAAAGCTGAATGCAGCTGAATGTTACATGATAATAAATGTATTGTAGAAATGGAGGGAACCTTTAGTGTTACATGCAATGCCAGATTGCTGTATCCTTACACAGATATTACCTAAATGAACAGGAAGTGCAGGAAGAGACTGGTGGATAAAATGCATGAGCAAGGGTTGAATGACCTTTTTAGAAACTTTTTAACCTTTTTAGTTTGGGACAGTCACTGCTATAATTATTTTAATTTGCTATTAACTTGCCTTGGTCTGTTTATGAAAAGGCACTGTCTTTGAAAACTCAATGGATTTTAAGGTTGTTGGTTGTTCTTGGTTTTGTTTTTTTTTTTTAAACTATAATTAAAAGTAGTTTAAGATAAATTTGTCTTTCAGGTAGCCAATGCAGTGAAAGGATCAAGACTCTTGGGCTAGAATAACTCAGCTGTAATTTTACAGCAGTGCTTTCATGTTGAATTTGCTGGTTAAGAATGGGATGTGTTCCAACAAAAGGCTGACTGTAGTTATGCCTGGAAACAAAAGTGCAAGCTAAGGCTTGACAAATGTCCAGAATGCAAGAGAAATAAATTAGTAGTAAAAGAGTATGGATAATAAACTGTATAATGATCAGGCAATTAAACTGAGGGCTTGAGGGAATAAATTTAGAAGGTTGAAATTTTGTATTCTGTATAATGGAGCATTGCTGGTCTAATGGATACAGAGAATGTTAGATGAGTAACATAGTTGTTGTCCCAGGCAGTTTGTTTAAATACCAGCTGAATAACCTTGCACATCATACAGAAATATACATCTTTTTGGAATTAAGACAAACTACCTGACAACTGGAAAATAAGTAATTTATATTCAAGTGTTTTGTTTTTCTTCTTTCTCCTGGATTTAGTGGCTTCCATTTCAGAAAGATGACTGGTCAAGAAAACTCTTGAGATACATGGATGTTACATACTATAGCCCCTTTGCAGAGTAATCATCCTTTTTTTTTGTGGGAATGACATGCCTCAAGAAATGTATGCTTCACCTTCTTCAGTAGCATCAGTGTATCAGTTAAAGGAATGAGATGGAGCAATTGTGTTTCCAGTGGAGCCTAACATATTCAACCACATCTTTTGGCTGATCTGAGTATGTTGACATCCTGTCAGCTCTGTTGTTACCTGCAGTGGATCCGACCTGATGTCATAGAGAGCCTGATCATAAAGCTTTAAGCAGAGACCACACAAATTCCTGCTTGACTTCACTTCAAAAAAGAGGATTTTAGGTCTTAATTTTACTCCTTGGATTTTGGTAGAATGCCAGATTAGTTACTCTGATTTATTCCATTCTGTATAGGTTCCTGTTCTACACCTACCCCAGTGCTATCAGAATGTCTTCCAGACTTCTTACTGATAAAAAATATTAGAAAACAAGACCAGCACCTGTCAAATGGGGCTCCCTCTCCATTTCTCTCTACACACCTTTCCTTTGGGGAGAGAAGAAGAGGAGAATAGCATGTGAGTTGTTTGAATTTTAATTTAAAAAGCTTAACTTTTTTTCTGTGTTTTGTACATAAATTAAGGTTTGCTTTTTTTTTTTTTTTTGTGTGTGTAACTTGTCTTTTATGGGAGCGGTTTTTGCAACTGTTTACAGGGAAGTCTTGCCTTTCCAAGGTAGAGATTTCATGTTGACAGTGGTATTGGTTTGTTTTTTTTAGTTTTTGAGAAGTACAGCTTTTCAAGACATTCAGGACCATTAAGGCTGAAGTACTATACTATTTGGGGATTTTTTTTAATTTATTTTTTTCCCTGTTAGAACTTGTCCCAGATGGATGAATTGTTTAGCAGTAAGGACTGAAATCTTTTAAACTCTCTTGGGTCCTCTGCCAGCTATTTAAGAACAAAGGAATACCTGTGAAGCTCCTGGTGACCTTTTCAAGTGCAGGGTAGTTCTGTTGCATTCTGTGCCCATTTAAGTTTCTTAAATCTCAGTCTAAATTGCATTTTGCTGTATCCAGAGAGGAGGTGATAAAGGCACATACTTCTGAAGCTAAACCCATAGGGATACCTTAGGATGTACTGGGAGCTGAAGATAAGCAACTGATGTGCCCATAGCCCAGCTACGGGGAATGCTAAAGGCCTTAGCTGTTGGGGAAGTACTGGACCCTTCCTGGTGGTTTGTTATAGACAGGTGGGCACCCACACTGTGCAACAACCCTTCAGGCAGGTGACCTGCATCAGATAATCTGTCTTTCCATAATCTTGCTTTAGTGGTCATCCTCCTCTGTATGTTGGAGTTCAGCTATTGCAGCTTGCTGGAGGGAACAGGATAGGGTATAAATCCAGATTCTGGAGTAGGGGAAAGTGATAGAGCTATATACACTGCTTCAAGAGGAGGAGAACTAGAAGCATATGAGTATTAAAAAAATTTGTCCCAATTCAGCATATTTAGCTATCAGTGCCATACATTAATTACGTTTTATTTCTGCTTCATTAATATTGTAGTAGCTTGTTTTATGCCAAAGTCCGTATCAGCTTACAGCAGCAGAAACTTCTGCGGGGAATTTATTTTTTACTAGCAATCGTATTTTAAGCATGTATATGCATGACAACAAACCAAATTGTCAGAGAGGCTTCTTACCTTGACACTGACATTCAAGTTGAAAAGTGTTGAAGTCCTCCTTCCTGAGATTATAGTCATTTTCTGAGTAGAACTTAGTAAAATTAAGCTGTTCATTTTCTCTTACAAAAAAGCCCCACAAAATACAGTATAGACACCAAGATCTGAAAGAAAAACTTGGAGTTTTGGTTAGATAGGAGAGATGTAAAGGATTTTTTTCCCCAAAATCAGATTGTTTCCTTTATGAGGAAGCAAGTAATCTACTGGGAATTATTAATGAGACCAGTTCTTCGGCTTAAGGCTCTTGGATTTTCATATTTAAAAATACATTTTTCAGACTTCAGTTTTTGTTTTAATACTGTTAAGTGAAAGTGCCTGTGTTCAAGTATTCCATCACTTTTTTGTATTTCTTTTTCAGGAAAACTGCAAAATGTTTCAAATTCCTGTTCAAAATCTTGATAATATCAGGAAGGCTCGAAAAAAGGTGAAGGGCATTCTTGTGGATCTTGGTCTTGACAGCTGCAGGGAGTTGTTGAAGGTAAAGCATTTGAAATAATGTAAACCCATCTGAAACTTAGACCCTTGACAACCATTCCACATTTTAGTGTATATATAATACTCCACTGCTGTAGATCTTTATGGTGAGGTCTTTACTTGATGGATTACCCATGACTAACTACTCGTGCCAGGGATGGAATTCAGTGTTTTAGTACGTAACATTGAAAGAAACTCTTATTTCTTAACAAGATGTGTTATAGATGGTGCTGCATATTCTCTGCTATTAATAGTTCAACAAAAGGAAACAGTACAGGTTTAGGAAAAGCACCACAGTCTTAACGAAATGTTATTTGTGTACTACGCAGCAACTTTTTTGTGATTCTTTTAAAGTCACAAGCAGATGAAGACTTGAGCCTACTCAAAGGCATTACATATCAAGTGCAAACCTCTGAAGGATATTCAAATCGTCAGTATTTCTGAAAATGGACAAGCAATTAGAGCCAGTGATCTTGTTGCAGGCCTTTTAAACTTTAGGGAGAAATACCAAACTTGCCTTATACAGTTGTAGTTCAGTTCTGCATCTTAGAAAGTATATGCAAGCGTACTGGGGTGATCAATATGAATCTAGCACCCTTGTTGCCAATTTCAGGAGAAAGTATCGTGCAGCGTGGCAGACTAATACCAGAAAAAAGTGCAAACGCAGTAGTGCAACTAGTGTGGGTGCTATTGTGTCTTTTTTGGTACTTTTTCTGAAACTGTAAGTAAATGATGGTTGGAAAAATGCTCAGGAAGTAATTCTAAAACATTCTTGGTTATTGTAGTTGAATAATGTTTGATATATCTAAACGTCATATAAGAGCTCAGAAAAGTGTATTTGTCTAGTAATTTCCATTTTCTTACTGCTTAGTGTTGTGTTGTATAATGTTTTGTAATTAAAAAGTCAGAAGCTGTTCTGTCTTGACTCTGAAATAGAAATGTTTTGATGATAATTTTTTTGCTATGAAATTGATTGCAGTTTAACTTTTTGATTGCAGTGTGGTGTTTAAGGGTAAATGAGGAATAAAGTGTTCATGTTTGGTTGGTTGCTTTTTGGAGGTGGTGTGTGTTTGGTTTTGTTTAGTTTTTAAGACCTGTGGTGGTGGGGAACCCAGCAAACATTCACATTCTAGAAAAAGCTCTCTGAGATGTGGGCCAAAAAAAAACCTATTTCAGTTTTTTGCAAATAATTCTCCTTCAGCCAAGTTTATAACTTCAGCTTGTTTTTTCCAAGTAATCCGGGACTGGTTTTCTTATCACTTTAGCAGCAAGGAGAATAATTTTTATAACTTGATTTGTACTTGCCTCATATGATGATGGATGGTATTTCATTTTGGTGGAATAGGGTGTGTGATGTCTTATTAGGTCAGAAGTATCTTAAGGTTTGTCTGTCTTTCCTCAGATATTAAGATTGATTTTTGGACATTGTCCCTGTGAGGAGGCTGGACAATTTAGGAAATGCTGTGAAATGATATGATACAGTGCAGACTTGACTTGCCATCTGGTCTTAAAATTGGTCTTAAACTGTTCTAATAAGGCATGATTATGGACAGTAGTTAGTGAGGGAGGTGGAGGAATTTCACATACAACCAGTATCTCTTTGTAGGTTGGAGACCAAGTGGATTAGGATTTAGGCTAAAAATTCTTAAGTGATCTCTACTAGGAAGAAAACATGAGCTTTTTGTGCTAGATTACTAGTTTGATTCTCAAAGTAGTCTTTTAATCCAGGGACACTAATGTCAGAGACTTTCCTTTAGTAAACATGCTTTAGCTTCTTTAACATTGTGATCTTTTAAGTCTTCATTTAAACTGAGCATTTTATCTTTTTGTTCTGGAAAACAGTGGTGGTTTTAATACAGAGGGGAGAACAGTTCTTAGTTTTAAAATGTTTTTCTTTTAAACTTAGAAATGCCCACTATGCATCAGGATTAATCGAGCATCTCAGAGGGTTTTTATTCCCTTCTTGCTACCTTTCCCTTTGCTTTTCCTGCCCTCCTCAAGTGAGAAATGTGGGAAGGGCATAACAAATTAGCTGATCAAAGCTTGCTTCTGGGATATCAACATGGATCTCTGTTTAAAGCAAGAGTTTAGAATAGCCATTTGCAGCACTGACTAATTACAGTGATAAGAATGGTTATCTCTTTCTTTATCAGTGAGTAGTTCTCTGTAGGAAATAGCTGTTTCAGTAATATTATCTGGATTTACTATCACACATTTGGCTTGTGGGAATCTGGCGTTCCAAGTCTAGGAGCAACTCCTGGTGGAGAGTACTACAACCAAAAGTAGAACATGTTTGGGGTAGGCTGTAAACTTCAAGAAAACTTCTTTAACAGTGTGTAATTCACTCCAGTGTGTTCAGCTGAAGAATTGTTTGTAAACCATGAGTCTCTTTGTTTTCTCTATAAAGCACAGGAAAGAAAAACATTGTGTTCTCTAAGGCTGTGGGATTTCTCTTGTTCCATGCAAGGGTTCTTTCTAAGGTTTTTAAGGAGGTTTGGCTGAAGGGCAAATAGATGACTCAGTGCCTAGACCTTGATTAGAATGGAAGGGGTTGTTTTATTGTTTCCCTGAGCTCTTCAGGAATCTCATTGGGGAAACTTGAAAGTTGAAGAAGGTAGAAAGCCTATTGCAGACTTAGCTACATTTTTCTAAATTCTTGAATAATTTAAATCAAATAATCATTGGCATGACCTTCTGGCTTGATCTAATCTGTTACACAGGGATGCTCACACTTGCACAGTGTGGACAGGAGCCTAGTGCAGACAGAGTCTGCATTAAGTAGGGTTGTATATTTGACTGCTAGTGGCTTTGTTTCTTTTTGTTGCTCGGTATATCCTGTGTTGCTTGTAAATATCACTTAAATACTACAGGTTTTTTGGTTGCAAACTATTAGATTTATGAATTCCACTATTCTTGAAGATGATTTAATCTGCAGTGGGGTTTGGTGCAGAGATGAACACATCCTCCCCTCTCTAAGCATCATGCAGGATTTTGAGTGATGAGTGGTTGGTGAAAGAGATAGAAAATGTGAGGGGAAAAGCACTGGTTTTCTGTGTGTTAAGCCTGGATTAGGAGCCTGTATTTGATCTGAGATGCTCTAGTGTGGTGTTGAAGCTAGCCTAGGGTCTTAAGAAATGCCTAGCAAACAGGAATCTAGTTATTTTTTTCATTAAGTTTGTGTTTGGATCTGTGTAGCCCTCAAAGAATTGGAGAGGAACTTCAGATTTTTAGAGTAGCCAGCTTTGGCTTGAGGAGCATAAACTGCTCTGATGGATTTGATTAGAAGAATGCTATAAAGAAAAATGTTTATCCTGACATGGTTGTTCCAGATGTGATAATATTGTTGCTTTTACAGCTTGAGGAAAGTTACTGCTGCTTGTGAAATAAGCTCCTGAGAATGTCTTCATTTTTCCAAGTTAAAAGCATAGCAATACTATGAAGATTTAATACTAAAACCTGTTGTAAAGTAAACCATAGTGGTAAGTTAATAAATGGAAGTAAATAGTGAAATTAGATTTAGGAGGAGGAAAGTTGAAGGAGAAAATCTCTTTGTGTTTACTGTGAACTTGGCTGGAAGCAATGGAATTAAAATGTAAATATTTTCACTCCTATATTATTTTCAGTAACTATGAAGTGTTCAGAATTCCTACCATATTACAAGGCAGTCGTATGAACAAGTATTAGAGGTAAAATAAAGAGGGGTCAGAGAAGTAATTTCTTTGAAATCTGTTTTGAGACCTGTATCCAAATACTGTATGGACCATCCATCCGTCCGTCCGTCCACTCTTTGTGTGGTTTTTCCTTTTTTCTTTTTCCTTGGTCTGTACTGAGACTATTTTTGTGTTCCGAACAGTCTGAAAAAGCAGATTATTTCTTGTTTTCTTTTTCCTTTTAGAATCTTAAAAGTTTTGACCCAGGTGAAAAACACTTTTGTAACACTTCATGGAGTGATGTCTCTCCTTGGGAGTCTGTGGGCAAAAGGAAGGTATGTATATTTGTGTTAGAAATTTTGGGTAGATGTGCATGTGGAGTTCCTGAATTTTACCATTTACAGAAGTCCTGGAAGAGTTGAAATACACCTTTTCTTAGAGAGAAAAAAAATAACTTTAACATCTGCTTTCTGAGTACTGTTGGGGAATAATCTTTCATTTCCTCTGTGTTCTTCCCTGTAATTCAGCTGTTTATAAAGACTATATATGCCGTTTGCTGTCTTTAAGGATACAGCCTTCAATATCAGTATTGAAGACATCACACTAATCTTCTGCCTTTTTAGCCTGATCTCATGTGTAGTCTTAACATGCTCTTGTATATAGCGTGATGCTTGTTTCATTGGAAGGGTGAAAATGTGATTGCATAGGTGTGAGTGGATTAATCTGAAATTATCATTAGTGGTTTGGAATAGGGTTGCATTGGAAAACATAATCCAGTTAGACTTGTGTATATATGAAACAGCTTTTAGTTTTATATAGCAGCAATCTTGTGCGAAGCTAGAATCTACAAAAAAGGCAGGCTTGAGATGAACCAAACCAAAGGATTTCTATAATTTTATATTCTAGCAAGTTTCTAAGATGTTATCTAGAGCATAGGAGTGTATCCAGACGAAAAGGTAACCTTTTCTCAGTCTTGCTCAAGAGCCTTAGGCCTCTTTAATGCTTCCATGAGGAAGGCCTGTCAGCAACATGTAATTAGCATTGGTTCTTCTCTTTTCATGCTGAATCAAAAGGTAATGGTTTAGAATAGTGTAGAGGTGATTTGCCAGGATTATTTTATCTGTCTCCACTGTCTTTAAAACAGATGGAGGCTGCCAAGTGCAATAATTGTATTTTTAAACAAAGCCCTCAACATCCAGCCCTGACCAAACAAAGCCACTCACTCTTTGCCAAACTGTCATTTAGTAGAAAGTGACCCATCCTGCCCTTCAGGACCTTTGTCTGTCTTGTGTCCCAGTGCTTTCCTGAACTTAGGTTCACACATTTAAGACTGGAGGTTCATCTGTTCACATGAATTTGTGTATGAGAGTCAAATATGACTTCTATGGCTAGGTCCACAGACACAGGTTGCATCTAGCCTCTTAGTGCCACTTAGAGAAGGCTTACAGTCACCTTCAGTCAAGACTACCATTAGCTTAGGTGAATGGAATAAATCTTGTTAACGGTTATGAAGGTCTGTCTTTTTTTTCATTAGTTCCTCCTTTTTTTTCTTCTTTATGCACATGGAAAACTTTTTATCAGGTCTCCTGGCTCCAGTCAGCATGTTATTTGAGCTCTAGCCTTGCTGATTTTGTTTTTTGCCTCTTCATCCACCTTCTGACTAAAGTTGAATGTTGGGAGATCTTCAATGTTAGATGAACAGGGAAGGTTGTCCTTCCTCCCCAAACATAAAACGGGGAAGAGGAGGATGAAGACAGAGCAAGTGAAGCTTCCTGTCTTAAGCTTAAGATGAAGGGCTGTTTTTCTGTCTTCCTTCCACAGTCCTTTAGGAAGGATGATTAGCTGTTTCAGTGAAAATGGAAAAGGACTAAAAATCATGCACTAGAGATGGAATCTTCTTTCATCCCTATTGTCTAGAGAGAGACCAGGCAGGGAGACCTGAATGCTTAATAGAACATAGATCCTGATTCAGGTATTCAGCATGACCAGTAGTATCTGTATCTGTCAAAAAACCCAAGATTGGAATCTGATTTGATGAACTTCACTGTAGTTTGTAATGTGTTGATGTGGAAGAGGTTTGCCAAGCTGCGTCTTTTGGACACTAAACTTGTGCCTTAAAGAAACATGCTTCCTTGATACGTATCATCCACATATCTTGTCATCATGCTGCCTAGATTTGAGAGAAAGTAAGTCAGTCCTTCAGGACCAACTTCCAACATTGTTGCCATAAAGGAGAAAAAAGGTTGTTTGAGCTGTGTTAGAAGTTCAGTAGGCTGGAGAAGATTTAGATGAGTTGGTGGCTTATGTCATTAGTACTAATTTTAGGGAGATGTTAATAATTCTGGAAGATGCTTGTTTTTTGGAGGCTATCGTGTCTTTCTGCTTGGCTCTAGGTTGTGGGGAATGTGAAAGAGACTACACAATGGAAAGTGTTACTGCATTTTGGGGTATGTTCTTTGGAGTGGGACTAATTTTTTCTAAATATCTCCAATAAGCTTTTTTGGTCATTTGTAGATTAGGGTTGTGTTGGTCAATCTCCAAGGTGATTAATTTTTCCTAAGTGGTTTAGAATTCTTATTTTGTCAATTTTTCTATAAAACTGAGATGCCATTAATAGACTGTAGTAGCACTTACAAACATAAAAAAGCATCTTAGATACAAGGAGAATGTGCTGATGAAATAATTTTCTAAGGTGTCTGTGGAAGAGCTGTAGTTTATATATAAAACATCAAAGTAGTAGACTTGCGCATACTTCTGCTGAAACAGAATTTTTTTCTGATTTTTAATTGCTGTGTTTTTTTGAGCTAAATAGTGGGACTTTAGGATTTGTCCTAATTTGATAAAACTTGAGGTACAGAACTAATTTTTTCTTTTGCCGAAGTCTTACAATTTTTACCTCCATCCAAAAAAAATTATAGAAGACATGGAATGTTGTTTTTCCTAGACTTACCAGTGTGCAGGTACTGGGGTGGTTCCTTAATGGTATACTGCAGTGCTTATTTGTGTAAGAAGTAAAAACATTGTTACTATGGAACACTAAATGAATTCAGCACTTCGACCACTTGTATTCTCATGACACCTAACAACAGTTATTTGATCTTGGCAGCAAGGAAATGCTGACAGTACATTACACTATCGTGTGAGTTTATGGGAACAGAAAGACCCAAATCAGCAATGCGGTTGGGTGGTGGGAAAGAAAAGAATGTATAGGCCCAGTATTTAAAAGCATATAATCTTTTCTAGGCCTTGGACAACCAATTAAAATAAGCAGTCACCTCTTGTCACCTGAAATGACATCAGAAGTAAGGCTAGTGAGGTGCAGGTTTTAGTAATGCTCTGTATGCTTCATTAGTTTGGTAGTGTTTTCACTAGTTCTTTCTCTACTCAGTATGCTGAGTATATAGTAAGATTGAATGTTCTTCTAATTTGTTGTGGTGCTGTTTACTTGCAGCTGACCAGATAACCTGAAGAGTAGAAGTAGAGGGTAATTCACTGATACCTTCACAGTGTACTCGTCAGCAACCTTAGACAGCCAGTGGCTTTATCTGATGCATTTGTTTGAATTTGCAGGTTAGATTTTGGTTATCACCAGGAAACTCTTCTAGTACTGCTATTAGATGCCACCTTTATGTCTGTATGAAACGACAAGTACCGGCAGAGATTTTTGCTACAGTTCTTCATAACATGTCTGTGACATGTATGCGGGTGATCTAGCTAGGCTTGGTGCTGTAGTGGTGGAACAGCTTGTTCCCTCTGGATGGTGTTTCATAAGGGGCAAAAATCACTCAGGTGAAAAAACACATCTGAGGGAACAGACAAGTTTCCCGACATGTTTGAGAGTGTGGATTTGTCACCTGGGTGTTGCTGTGACTGATTCTGTAGTTTTTGGCAGGAGCTGTGGTTGACTTTCTAGGAAGTTGATAAGAAAAAATGGTTGACAGGGCTACCAGATGTTTGGGGATTTTTGGTTGGTGGTGGTTTTTTTTGGAAAGAGCAAATAGTGTCCATATGCATATGAAAAGTAATGCTGTCAAGTGACACGTAACTGAAGGAGCAAACCACTGTTTAGTGGAAAATAGGTTTATTTTTATACAGTTAAAATATTTATCTAGGAAGAATTTATATGCTCTATAATGAGTGTGCTAGAGAAAATGTCTTAATTACTGTGATGAGATATCTAGTATGTTGAGATCATATGAAGATGTCATTGCTGCTTTATCACAAAAAGGGGTTTTATTCCTTTCTCTTTCTACTGTTAATGTGGCTCCAAAAGAACATTTTAAAAAATAGTCTTTTGTGACTTTGTTGGGAGAGGTACTTTTGGAGAGCTTTCAGTGAAGGGTGGGGGATTGAAATACACAAAAATCCCCACCCCTTCTCTCTCTCTCCATTAGCCGGGTGAACTACATAAAGCTTTAAAAGTGTCATATTTTAAAAGGGCTGTGTCCTGGTTCAGCTAGGATAGGGTTGAGTTTCCCCAGCAGTGGGGAGGGAGCTCAAGCTGGGTTATTTGATGCCATGCTGACATCGGGTCCAGGCGCTTGGGAGGAGCTTTGGGATGGCTTTTGTCTGGGTGGGTACCCTCACTGCTATGTTTGTGTGGTATATCTCTTGTTCTGTTCATTGTTATTACTGTTATTGTTGTTCAGTTTGTTGTTGTTACACTGTTGTATTAAATTTTTCCTTATCTCAACCCCAGGGTTTGTATCTTGCTCCCTGCCCTGTCTGGTCAGAGGAGGGGGGAGGGGCAGCGGCAGCATGGTCTTGGGTCCTGGCAGGGCCTAAACCACCACAGGCTGCTATTCCAAATTGCTCCTATGTACAGTGGCATACGAACTCTTCTTAGATTGTTCTGTAATTCCCATCTTTAAAAATGGGCTTCAGAATTGCTTCTTGTGAGCTGGAGTAGAAAGTAACTCACTTAAGGCTTCTTAGTAAATTATGAAGAAGCCAGAAGGGCACAAATGTTTCTCCCTGTAAGTATGTCATCTTTAAATCTGCTTTTCAAAACCAGAAGAAAATGGGAAGATATGTGCTATATGCCACATGAAGGCATTTTCGACAGGTGATAGTGCAGACTTACTGTCAAACATAACGGATTTAGGAACTGGCAGTTTCTAAGTGGATGTTTTTGTTTTGTTTGCAGAGATACAGAACAAAGCCCTACTGCTGTAGCTTATGCAAGTTCTCATCAAAATTGCTTACTTCATTCAAGAATCATTTGCACCGTTACCACGAGGATGAAATGGACCAAGAGCTGGTGGTTTCTTGCCCAAAGTGTGCATTTGCTTCTGATCCCAAAAGAGTGGGAAAACATATCCGGATGTTTCATTCATCTAATAAAAGAATACAGAACTATACAGTCAGCATTTTGGATGGCATGAAACAATTCAGGAGTGATATTATAAACTTTACATGTTTAAAATGTCAATTTACAGACACATTGTATTACAATATGAAGAAACATGTGTTGATGAACCATTTTCAGAACTTAATTAGTACATATTTTGGCCAGAAACCTGATGAAAGTACAGAGAATTCCATTGAGCACTACTGTAAAAAATGTAATGCTTCTGCAAACAGCCAAGATTCTTTAATGTACCATGTTTTGACAGCTGAAACACACAGAGACCTGGAGAACAAACTTCGGTCTGTGATTTCAGAACATATTAAGAAACCAGGACTCGTGAAACAAATGCATATTGCTCCAAAACCTCTCCAAGGTGTGGCAGTGGCTGCTCCATCTGCAGGGTCTGCCACTGCCACACCAGGTTCCGTCACATCTCCGACTTGCATCCAGCTTGCATTTCCACAGAATAATCAAAACCAGAGTGTGGTGCAGCCAAAAGCCGTGCAAAACAATGTCAGATCACTGACCGTCCCAAGTGCCTCTGGTAGCCTTCCACATACAACTTCTGCTCTGGTTGTCGCCTCGTCGCATGTTACTCTTGTATCTAGTAACCTTCCGGTAGGTCAAAATAATGTTAATATTCAGCCACCTTCCCAGCCTATCATTGTTTCCCACAGGCTTCCCCTTAATCAGCCTGTGAGGGCTGGACCTATTCCTCTTAATCATTCTGTTGGGACCGTAAATGGAACGGTGGCCCCTGCAGTTCTTCCTCTTAATCAACCTGTCAGGCCTGGGCTCTTCCCTATTAATCAACCCATTGGTACCATAAATGGTCCAGTTGCAGCTGGAACGCTGCCTGTTACTCAGCCCGTCAGCCCTGTGAGTCAGCCGGTTGCACCAGGAGTCCTCCCTGTAAGTCAACCAATTGCACCAGGAGTCCTCCCTGTGAATCAGCCGGTTGCACCAGGAGTCCTCTCCGTCAACCAGTCGCTTGGGAACGTGAGTAGACCTGTTGGTCCTGGCGTCCTTCCCGTGACGCAGACAGTTGCGCCGGGTGTTCTCCAACTGAACCAGCCTGTTGCCTCTGGGGTTGTTCCTGTCAGGCAGCCGGTCAGACCTGGGTTTCTTCAGCTTAATCAACCTGTTGCCCCAGCAGTTATCCCAGTAAATCAGCCAGTTCAACCCGCAGTTTCTCAAAATGCAACTTTTTTGACTACAGGTTCTATACTTAGGCAGTTGATTCCAACTGGTAAGCAGGTTAATGGGATACCTACGTACACGCTTGCCCCGGTGTCAGTTACTTTACCTGTACCTCCTGGTGGTGGAGTAGCAACTGTGACGCCCCCACAAGTGCCCATCCAGCTAATGCAGTCTGGGACGGTAACTCAGCTGTCCCACTCGCCGGCTAGTGCACCGTCTCCTCCAGTGGTTTTAACGTCTCAGAATGTATCATTGCAGGCCTCCCCCCCTGGGCCTGAAACAAGTCAGGCTACCAGGCAGGCCAAGCAGTGGAAGACTTGCCCTGTTTGCAATGAGCTTTTCCCATCAAATGTCTACCGGGTGCACATGGAGGTGGCCCACAAGCATAGTGAAGTAAAAGTGGAGAAAATCGCAGAGCCTGACAAGCTTGCAGCTTGCGCGCCCTTTCTGAGGTGGATGACAGAAAAGACGGTCCGCTGTTTCTCTTGTAAGTGCTTTCTCTGTGAGGAAGAGCTCATGAAACATCTCTTGATGCATGGCTTAGCTTGCTTGTTTTGCACAGTTACTTTCCATGACTTAAAAAGCCTTGTGGAGCACAATAAAACACACAACGGGAAGAAGCAGTTGCATGCAGATTATAGCAACAGAGGATTTCAACTAGGTAATGATGCTCAGGGTGACCTTGTGTTTCCACACTTTGATTTCAGTACAGTGTTACCAAAAGAAGACATTGGTGAAAGAGAAATACATTTGGCAGTGCTTGCGGGACTAAATTCAAGGACACTGGTCCCTGTTTACATCAAAGTGAAACCTCAGACAGCAGAAGTGAATGACAGATGCAACAGAAAAGTGTTAACCTGTCCCTTTTGCTTTGGTACGTTTGTAAGTAAAGAAACCTATGAAATGCATTTGAAAGAGCGGCATCATATAATGCCAACTGTACATACCATTTTAAAGTCTCCTGCTTTCAAGTGCATCCACTGTTGTGGTGTGTACACTGGAAATATGACTCTAACAGCTATTGCTGTACACTTGCTCCGTTGTAGAAGTGCTCCCAAAGACAGCAATTCAAGTGTGAAGATGCAGCTTGAGCGTACTGAGAGGAAAGAGTTACTGTTTGTGAATGGCGAAAAGCATGTTTCTGTGATGCTGAAAAGAAAGCAGTCTGATTCCTGCTTTGCTACAGAAGACCAAAGGAATAAGGAGCAGACTCTGAGCTTAAGTGCTGGCATAGCTCTAACTCAAGAAAGAGAAATGAATTTAGGGGTAGTGCCTTTCAAACGACAAAAGATTAATAGGACTGAGATGAAGAAGCTCCCTTCTAGTGAGGAACTTCGCATTCTAGCAGTAGATCCTAAACAGTATGATCACAGCTCGTTTGAGGCTCAAACCCAGTTTTTGACAGACTACTTTCACGAGAGGCCATATCCTTCTAAGAAAGAGATGGAGATACTTTCCTCGCTTCTGTATGCGTGGAAAATTGATGTTGCATCATTCTTTGGGAAAAGGAGGAATATATGTTTAAAGGCGATAAGTAATGACAAACCATCTGTGCTGCTGGGTTTCAGTATGTCTGAACTAAAAAATGTTAAGCACAGCTTGAATATAAAAGATGAACCATTAGATATGTAAACAAGCTTTTTATAACAGCTAAAAGCAATCCATAATTGCATACTTACTGATTTAGCAGTTTATTGTATTATTTGTTTTAACTTGCAGACTGGCCTGTTGAAGGGTGCAGTAGTACAAAAAGTCTTGTTCAGCTGTGACTGTTATTGTGAAAGGCACACTTAGTTGTGTATTTGAAAAAGCTAAAACCTTCAGACTTACACATCTGGAATTTGTTTTAGCTTTTTACTTTTTCTGGAGTAGTGATTTTCTTTTTTTTTTGAGTCTTTTGTTTTGGTTTGTTTCTTTGTTCCGTTTTCCTTTCTTCCCCTCTGGGCTCCTATTACACTTTTTATACCACCGACCGTGTAAAACATTTGTCCTGTTAAAAACAAATTTTATTTTATTTTTCTGCAATGTCATCATCTTTTCTAAACAATAAAATGTATAATGTTGGTTAAAATACTGAGGTGAACTATGTGAAAAACATCTATTTGATTATTTGTGGTTTTAAGTCCTAATTTTGTTAACCTGTATTAATCTACGGAAGAAGCAATTGTAGCCATTACATCCATTGCCCCTTCAAATTCCCAGTGCACTGGTAGCAATAAAATACATGGCAATCCCCCCCACCCTGAGTCAAAATAGCTTTGCCAGTTAAGTCTGTTGACTTCTAGTATCTAACTGGTATCAACATGGTGGGGGTTGAGGGACTTGGGGGTGCCTGTTGAAGTGTTATAATTAACTGACTTGAAATGGTTGTGTTCTTACCTGTTAAATAGTTTTTGCTAACCAGAAGCGTTTACTCTGTTGGTGTTGAAGCCTGGTTGTTTAAATACCTATTGTTCAAAGCTGGGTAGCTGCATTTGGTTTCTTTTCTCTTTCAGAAAGCAAAACTGCTTTGGAGAGTGTCACATTGCTTTGATGTGTTGACTGTATGACTTCTGTGCACATCACTTACCTTTAGAAGCTCTGTCCAAATATCACTGGAGTTTGGTGAAAAACCTGATTTTTATTTTAAATTGCCATTGCATGAGATAGTAACTGAGCAATGATTCTTCCCAGCAAATTAGATGGATGGCTTGAAGACCTTGGCATCAGAAATTGTAGAAACTGAAACTGTATCAGTTGGTAGCATCAAGATTTAAACTGTTGAGTACCTGATCTGATGATATTTATGTAGTGATTGTTTTTTATTGTCCTATAGAGAGCATAAGTATAGTATAAAAGCCAAATAGATACTCTTGTTCAATATAAGCTAGCATCCCTATTACAGATTACAGAAAAGCTGTTGGGAAGGTTCACTTGATTTGAAGAGCAAACTATAATACAGGTGGCCACACTGAGGCCTTGTCTTTCTGGATATGCTTGGTTTTATCTGGCTTGTCAAACAGTGCCTCCAGTATTTTGTTAATAGCCAGTTACATAATAAATAACCTATAATATACATTATTTTTTCTTCATCCCTCTGTCCCCACCTTTCTTTCCAGAAGGAAAAATAGAGCAGGCTCTTCTGTCAGTTGTGCCAGTGTTACAAGAAAAGGGTGATGTGCCCAAGCTTATTTCTATTTTTTGAAGTAGTGAGCATACTTTTGCCCTGTGCAGTAGTTTTTAAAGCAGATACAGAACTTTTTTTGTGCTGTTTCTAAAAGGGCATGACATTTTTAGCAGAGTTTGGTGACTGCCCACCTGAGATTCTATAAGCTGTTTGAAATTCTATTTTGGATACAATCTTGATATTTTCATATTGATCACTTCAGATAATTTTAATGTCTATGTAATATACAGTTACTTAAACTGAAAGAATCTGCTATTTGGAAAAATCTAGTAATTTAATAGCAGTGTTGAACAAACATAAGTACCATTTATGGGATTGTCTGCACACCCCATCCTAAAGACGGACAGTGAGGAAGCAGCAGTGTGTTCTTACAGCCTAATAATATCTTACTAAAAGAGATTGTTTGGGCCTAGCACAGTTCATGAACCAGTTTGAGGGGCTCTGAGCGAGAAAGAGGGACACTCTGTAGAAGCTGTGAAATCTAGGCACTCTTTTCCCTCCTAAAACCTTGATACTGTGAACCCTGTCGTCTTTGGGGTATTTCTGCTGGTATTGGTGAAACTCCAGCAGGGAGGAATTTGTCAGCGTGCATCTGGGGAAGGCTTGCCATGGACTGTTAAAGATTGTATTGAGGGTGGCTTGGAGTGGGAAGCTGGGAAGTTATTTTGGGGTTCATCCATGCTTGGGGCACCAAGGGAGCAGTCCAGTCTTACCAGAGTTTTCCCTACATAGTGTCCAGCAGTGATGTTAAGTGTTTTATTTATTGGACTTTGATTTTACAGTTTCAAATAAACCAGCTTTCTAACTTTCTCTTAGGTGTGTGTGCAAATGATTACTTATTCCCTCCCCTCCTTTAATATATTCAGGGAACTTGATGTGAAAGTTTCTTTTGGTGCAAAAAAGCTGTTTAGACACAAAAGGAAAGTAAGACCTAGAACTTGGATCCAGATGCTTTAGGCAGATCTTAGTGCATTATAGTAATACCTTCTGTATAGTTTCCCAAAGACTGATGTTCTTAAGTCTTGGTTTTGATTTGCTGCAACTAAATGTTCCTGCTCTGATTAGATGAGGACTGTTGAAACAAAGAACAGATGAATTTTGAAACGTGGAACGACTGTGACAGAGTATGGTCATGGTTTTCAGGAGAGCCAAGGAGCCTGAAATCAGTCAAGTTAAATCAGTGGCTTTAACTAAATTTGGCTTTTGCTGTAGACTTCTCACCTGTGAAGTCATTTGGTTAGAAAATGTTGGTCTGGAAAGATACTGCTGCCACTGTCTAGGTGTGTGGGCAGTATGGTAAAGGTGCCTCTGGCACTCTTCTAAGGACAGATCCTAACACTACTTGTCTCTGCTGTTGGGCAAAACAAATTACCAAAAGAGCTGCCCTCTGCAGCAGACTTCCTGAATGCAGTCCTTAATGCATGTGGGCGAAGCTCTGGTCCACTGTAAAAGATGTCCAGTTGGGAAGAATCCTGCTTGGTTTGCAGGATTATTGTAGCAAGTTCTTGTTCCTGATGGGAATAAACGAAAACCCACACATGTACTCTGCTTCTGAAGCGTATTGGTCTGGATAAGTCTCTGTGTTTGAGATTTTGTTGGGGTTTCTTGAGTTTTTGAGCAGAAAAATTGTGCTTGTGAAATAGTTTGATAGCTTTATTATTTGAATATGTAGTAGGAAGGATTATTATTATGCTGCAACTTGATCATGTTTCTTCTGTATCCTCATGAATATATATTAAGACTTAATATATATTTGTGGGACTTGTTAATGTTGTTTGCTAAACTGACGTTTTGGAAGGGGACAAAAACCAAAACATCCTTGTGATTGGTTTTCAATACTGTATTGTCTAGAATACCACAGTTCATCGCATCAAACTTTTTTTCCTTCCACTGCTTTAAGTTGTTCAGGAAAGCTTAGGGGCTTATTTAAGTAGCTGTTAAATATAATTTTGGGTGTGCAATTTCCAATAATTATCTCTATAAAACTGTAATTCTACTGCAGCTGGCTGTACCATTTTCAGACATACATCTCAAACTCAACCCATGGGCACATTTTTCTGAGAAAGGTTCCTTGGTGCTAAAGTACAGATAGATAGAGAAAAAAGCTGCAGTCTAATAGCAAGGGGGAAAAAAGACAAAAAAAAACCCTCCAGAAAATGTGCATAGCTTGTTTTAAAGATCAGAATTTTCATTCCTTCCTCTGCAAAATGTATGGGAAAAGGACAAGTTGAGGATATTCATGAACAAAGCAAACTCCGTGGTGCTGCATTCAAAGTCTTAACGCTTTGCTTTAGTGCTTATGTATCTCATTTCTCATTTCAGCTGTTCTGACTTGACAGGCAAGCTGCAGTTGTGACAGTTTCTCTTTTGACTTGGGTACTGGATCCCAAAATATGTATGACAGTTCTTTTTGCTTCGTATTTGTCCAAGTTTATCATGCTGAGTTAGAGAGGGCGTATGTGGGGTGTGCTTACAGTACTGCCTTGTTTGTTTGAAGAGTGTAGGTTTGTGGATAACAGGAACACGAGCATGGGCTGGACGCCTGTCTTCTAATTCCATGTTAAACTGCTATTTATTAACACGGTGTTTTACCTAGTAGTATGTTGAAGAACACCTTATAATAAAATCAGGGGAAGGTAGAGGCCTCAAATATCTTGCAAAGTGTTGTTCTTATTTTACTTTGGCTCCTTGTCTGTTAAATGGGAGTAAGAGCCTTTCTTGCCATCCTAGCATGCAATGTGGGTGAGGACCTTAAAGACTATGAGACTGGTAGGTATTTTATGCATTGAGTTGCCCAAGTAAGCTAAGTATGGAACAGCTGACATGATTGAAAGCTATTGGGCATGGATATTTCTGGAGAAATTGTGTTGTCAGAGTCAGTGTCATTTTGGCTTACGATCTGTTTTGAAGTGGAAAATATACTAAATTTTGAATGAAGTGAGAAGTCTGTAAAGCTGTCCATTTGCTGCATGAGTATGAGATAGGCTTACTAAGAGAGACATCTGTATCTTTAGGTAACTCGGCTGTGCTTGGCACTTTGTAGTGCATAGATCTCCAGGGAATGAAAGGGCTACAGTGAGCCTTGGGGTGTTGTAGTCTTCCTGGTGCGATGGCTGGAGCCTTTGCTGCTCACTGGTTCTCGCCTGGCCTACATCTGACGGATGTTAGAGTGGCTGTTGTATGAGTAACTGCAGAAGAATGCACAGTTATGGGTGGATAGAAAAATGCCAAGACACCAACTCAAGCACAGTCAAGTAGTAGTAACAAATGAGTAGCAGAAGAGAGATTACAGAGAAGCACTGTAGTTTTTAGTTCTTTGCAGAAAAACAGCAAAAGGGGTGAAAAGCTCTCCTGGCAGTTTCCAATCTCCATGGAGATGTGGAAGAGTGTCTTTTGTGGATGGGGCTTGTTAGCTGTACTGTCACGCATGTGGTGCGCCAGCAGCATCATCTTTTCAGAAAGGATGCTGTTGGAGCCTCTGAGATACTGTCTTTGACACAGAAGTTCAGCAGCATAGATTGTGAAGTAATTTTTAGGTCATGAAGGACAAGTGCCCATAAAAACATCATTTATTAAGTCATCTTGTGTAGCAAATACAGCATCATCCATGTGCCACAGGACTGGCACCACGCGTTATGCTAGAGACCAAGGTCTGAATTAGAAGATTTTTCAGAGCTCTCGGAACAGTCTCTTCTCCTGATCTGAGCAAAGAATTAAGGTCACACGGACATCACTTACCTCAACAGAGGTAGTTACCTTTGAAAGCATTAGCAGTATGTGTGGACATGCACGTGGTCAGGTTCAGTCTGATTAATGCTACAGTGGCTGCACGTGATCCTCAACAGAGCTAAAAGCGTAAGGTGGACTGGTCAGCAATGATCTACATGTAGCACTGTGCGGTAGTAGAGATGGAAGGCAGAGCATGAGCGGTACAGCCAAGTGTGCTCTGTCTTGGCTTGATTATTTTGGAATAAGAGCTCATTATAAAGTAGCAGTTGAGACTGATCTTATTAATGTTACTAATGATGTGAAAAGTGCAAGTTTAATAACAAAACTTGTTAATGGGAGAAAAGCTGTCAGGCAGCATTGGTGTAGAAAAGAGCCAGTATCGTATTTGAAGAACTTGAGTGTTGGGATTTAATACAGCAACATCATGATTTATAAACACGCATGCATAAAGGTTAGCCAGCACAGATTCACCTACTTGGCTGCTGCTTCTGCTCAAGGCCGGTGGTAACCTTGGCACAAACAGGGTGAAATGTGACCACCTGTGCATTCAGTGTGGGATCAGGGCTGTGAGGTTTGGAAGCGGCGAGTGCAGTTTGGGCAGAAAGCCAGTTTTGAGATGAACACTTCACCTGAGGGGAAATAGATGAGGTGGCTGCACCTAGTAGAAAGGGGATGGCCACCCAGTTTCAGGACCTGGCTTCCCGAGTTTTGGTGGATGAGGGTTCCCGGCAGCAGTACCAGTGGGGGCATGAGCCCTTCCTCCTGGTGCGGGCAGGCGAGGGCCTCTCCTACCAAGAGAGCTGCTTCTTCCACCATCTGCAGGGTTGCTGTCGGGCTGTGTGGCAGTGCCATCCAGCGCCAGGCCACTGGAAGCCTCCCTCCAGCCATCCTGGGTGCCTGTATGTACCTCTGGGAATCTGTGGAGGACGTCTGAGCCTCTCTGCCAGAAAGTGAGGAGAGAAATGAGCCAGTAGCAAGCATAGCGCAGTGCTGGGCAGTCTGCGGAGGCACAGTTACGGGCAGATTCCTGTGAAAAGATGTAGCCTGGTGCCAGGCTGCAAGTCCCGCTAATGAAGGCAGGGCGCTTGCTGTGGTCAGGACACACCAGGCACATTTTGCTTCAGCAAGAGTGGTGCTTTGCAGTGGAGTGGGAACTCCCTGTTAAAAACTCTGAGG